ACATTAATGCTGTAAGCTATATCCCAATAAATATAATACAACTGTGCTCTGAATTGAGCAGATTAGGATGGGATTACAGTGTAGGATTATAGGACCACATCAAGTGCTCTCATATATTTTGCCATCTAAAGATTAGATATTTTAGAGCTTCAAAGCATGAAATGAGCCTGACCAAGGGACCTTGAAAAAGCAGCTATAGCAAAATGATCATTCCTAAATTCCCCTCTTCTGGGTCAGCCTTGAAGGGGTACAAACATTACCCCAGAAGAAGGAATAAGGGCTGAAGAGTGTGATCTGCCTGTTCATCCCCTCCATACTGACCCATCTCCTATCACACAGTGTAAGCACGGCCATACTGGCACAGAGCAAAGCATCCCTGCAGCCCAGCCATGCAGCCCAGACAGTGCCCGGGAGGAAAGGTTATAAAGGAGCTGAACAACAACTCAGTGATGTCTTCCTGGGTACATCATCTCCGCTTTCTGCCATCTGCCACTTAAAAGTTCACTGTGCTAGAGGTTTAATCCACCCCTTTATACTTAATAGTCTTTGGTGGCCTTCACTGATATCTAACAACATTTTGAACATGCTCATACTTTCAAGCATCCAAAACATCCCATGACAGTGAGTCCCTCAATTTCACTACAAGATGGAGGGAAATTGTTTCCTGTGTTTTAAACCTGTTGGTCAAAAATTTCATTTGCATTGACCCTGCATTATGGGACACAGCGAGTTACTTGCTACAATCTATTCCTGATGTTAAACACATCTGGTGTAATCCCTGTCAATCACCTGTTTCCTAAGCTAAAAGCCTGTTTAATCACCTTGTGCAGGGACAATCGCTTCACTCAGAGACCTCTGCTTTCTATAGCCCAGTTTGCTGTATCCATCTGAAATGGGATGGCCAGCACTGGCTGCAGGATTTGAAATGTCCCAGCTCCCAGAAATTTATAAAAACAACAGTATTTTACTGTTATGGATGTTACACTTTCTAAAATGGTGTTTGCCTTTTTATCTACTTGACTCAGGGATGGGGAGGACTTTTCGGCAATATTTTTTCTGCAGAAGTATTTTATCTTTTTTGTCCATGTTGATCTATGCCTTCAGGAGTCACTGCAAAACCCTGGTACTCACCAAAAGCCTTTGGCTATTTTAAGATTTGATTGGTTTACCTAATTGCCATAATTGTCCTGGGGAGGTTACCAAACTGAAAAGCCTTTCTAGTAAATTTAGCATGTTTGATCTGTAGTAATACTTCAAAAGTAAGTAAAGACGTAGGAAAACCAACATTCATTCTGGTGCTGTGGACTGTGTGTTTCACTCCCTTATTGCTTTTCCTGACAGACTTGTACCAGCACAGGACACACACCAAATTAAACATACAAATCACAGCCCTTTTGCCATCAGTTTGCCCCTAGAGCTCTCTGCTATTTCCTCTTGCTGTATTTAGCCACAGTAAGTACTTTAATTTTTCAGAATTATAAGATATCAGCTACCTGGTCATGGCACTATTTTTATCACCAGCATCTCTGCCACTGTGCACCAGCACAAGCCACCTCTTCCTTCTCACATGAACATGACCCCAAGTGATTCAGGGTAAAAGTAAACACCAAGTCAGGGGGAGTTTTACCAACACATTGTCTCTGACAATTTGCAGGAGGCCTCTCCTCCCCACGGTGACTGTGCCCAACTCTTTGCTGCGCTGGCTGAGCGCTCCCTCTATGATGGTGATGTTTCCCATTGCAATCAGACAAGAAAAAGGAAACATCCTGCAGAGGGCTATCTGCTGGCCTGTCTTAATACGAGAGCTTCAGTTTGAACGTTTTAATCAGTTTATCCAACAAAAGCAACATATACCAGCCAACGCAGCCCAGCACTTTCTCAGGAGGCAGGAACTCCTGCAGGTTTCCCACAGAAGAGCCTAGGGAGGCTTACTCCAAATTATTCTAGTTTGCCAGCAGCTTATGTGCTGTGGGAAGAATTCCCCCTCCCTGAACAAAATCTCAACTAAATATAAAATAGAGAAAACATGAATAGAAAACTATACCCCCAGCTCCAAAGGCTGCTGCATGGGTGAATCTGGCAGTGCCTCAGGAGTCCACGACCTTCCCAAATTTTTTTCCCTTTGCCAACAACATGTTTTGCAAAAGTTGCCTGGGTGCTTTTGCAGACATATACATATAACATTTCACCTCCGGGCTCTCAGACTGCAGCTGCCCAAATCCAGAGACTCATATTTTCACTCATATTTGACTCAGTTGCTCGTATTTTAACCATACATGAGCAAAATATTGAGAAAATTTATAGTCACAGCTTTCCAGGTGTGAGGACAGAACCACCCCACATAGTTTGGTTCTTAAGAGTGCAAACTCCAGCAAAGCATGTATGAAAGGAAGCCATGCAATGAACAGTTGGATAAGACTACACCAAATTGGCTTTGCAAATAACATTTCATCTGAGAGAAACAGTACTGTCGTCAGTAACAAACTAAGCTCATGCACTGCTGCACTTCCAGTTTTTCAGTAATAGGCTGAACTAAGCTGTATTTTGTAAAGCAATGAAAGGAAAAAGGACTAATCATCCTATAAATAAACCAGCTTATGAGTATTTAACAAGTGTTTCTTGTTAACAAATCATTACTTTCCACACATAATTAAATAGCTCTTAATAAAAAAAGGGATTATATTGTGCTGTCTTTAGACTAGACCTATGGACATCTGAAGAAATGTCTGGAAGGCAAAATAAGCCATGCCGGCAAAGAAAATGTTTAAGCTCACAGCAAGACTAGAAGAGCCTCTGCACTTCTAAAGCTAAAGGAGCAAAAAACCTATAGAAAGCAGCAAGTGATGACTGCTGGAAAATCCCTCCTGCACTGCAGTGGAGCCCTCTGCACAGCCCCCTCTCCTGTACACATCTTCCTCTCATAGATGTATATGAAATGCAATAAGTTATAGCTGTTTCTGTCAACTATGACAAATGCATATACTTAAAATTAAGCATATACTTGAATCCATCAGCTTCGATAGGAATTAGGTGTATGTTTATTTTACCATTACTAAAGGCTCTGATGAATGAAGACCACTCCATTTTGTGAGCTGAGAAACAGAGAGGTTTATGAAGCTGTTTACGCAGAGCCCCTGCTAGAGCCGAGCATGCAACCACAGCCCTTGGCACTGACTAAAGTCTCAAGGCCAAGGCTAACTACCCCTGGAGCACAAAACAGCCCCAGAATCTCTCATTAATTACATTTTTCTGTGACTTAAATCCAGCCTCCAGTGGGTTTGGGGATTTGGGTTTTCATCCCTACTGAAGTTTTCTCCCCACCCTCTTTGCAGAGTTTCTCCTGCAGGCTGCACACATTTTCTGCGCAGCAGCAAGTAGAGATGAATATCGCTATCAAGTTTTGACTGATGCATTTTTGTCTCAGTGGCAGTCCAGTTCAGGATCCAGGAGGTGTCTATACAACAGGGTGTTCTGCAGGATAATGTCCTGTGAAGGAAACTTTAGGCACCAGATCATAACTGAATGCTGCATGGCTACTTTAGTTGAGCTTCCCAGCTAGGACACAGTAAGTGTTAAGCTATACCTGGAGTAGAGCAACACGATAGAAAGCGCAGAATTAGCAGACAGATAAGATAAATGGGAATTTTCATGTGTGTACTAACAACTGCTTCAAACACAACTGCCACGTGGGATTAGGATCATCAGAAGGGGAGCAAAAGAAATTCTCATTAGAAGGAAGACAAGCTTCCAGGTCTGAAAACCCCAGTTAACCAGAGCATCTCACTCAGGGCCAGCATTGCTCCTGCTAACCCAGAACATTGCCAGGGATTACTTCTGTCATAGCTCCGTTCAGAACATGGCATCCCTGAGATGCCATTCTATTGCCTTTGGACATGTTCCATTTTCATCACTCAAACACAGTAGACTCAATTCTGTACTTATTTACATTGGCTTTCAAGGCTGTGTAACCCCAACTTGCTCCATGGATTCCCAACCAGTACCAGCAGAACAGAGGTACAAAGCCCTTTGCTGTTTCTTCTTACACTGGCTCCAAAACACTTCTTTTGCACAATCAGTCCCCATTGGAACATGTCTCGAAACATGGAATTTCCCCAGCCAGTAGCTAAAGCTGTGGCACAACTGTGCTGTTTCCATGAAAATAATAAATGTGTTGTCTTATTTCAATTTGCCATGGACAAAAGGCAATCTCTTGAAAAAGCAAATGTTTTGAAGAAAATTTCCTTTTGTTCAAAGCACAGAGAAAGTATCTACTTTCCGTATGAGGTGTCATCCTTTTAAAATGAATCTTTTTTGAAACAAAACAAAATGACAAATGATAGACTAAGCACACTGATATCTTCTTCACCCACCATCCCCAGCCTAGACCCTCTTTCCCCAGGCTATTCCAGTTCCCCACATGGATAAGTCTGTCCACATGGAGGAGACCCCCTCCCTTGGATGCTCTTTCTAACATAGAAGCCAAGTATTTCACAGCCCAAACCCAGATAAACTCTGGTTCTTTGCCTTTCAGTCCATTCACTCTAGTTTCATGGCAGGTCAGGGACAGACATCACATCAAAGCACCAGCCACATTCAGAATGTCTTTGTTCTCCATGTTTTCTGTTCAGCTGTTATCCTTTAAATGCACATAAATAAAAGAGTTTTCATTAAAACACCAGAAAGAGTAAATACTTGTACCCAAATTTCAAAGAGGCACTTCAGCAGACAGACACAAACAACTAATGTTGGAAGAGAAAGAATAAAATCAAAGTTTTAACAGAACAGATCATGTGCATTTAGCTTTGCTTAAAGTCATGCTGATTCTTATGGTGCTGAGAAATCTTAGAGAAGAAAAGGTACCAAAGTAGACAATGTCTTCAGATCTTGTAAGCCTGTGTGAAGGTGTGTACAGGTTGCTCAGTCAAGTTCCCTGCAGTTTTAGTTGTTTGCTGCCATGCAGACAGCCACCAAATACCCCATCAAAGCACATGCAGAAGTACCTGTACTTCATTCCTGTCTCAGCTCCCACAGTCTCCTGCAGTGACAGCCCATGCAGGTGCAGGAACTTCTCCAGCTGCTTCAGCTCGGTGGCTTGGCTCGGCTTCCCTGGCCAGCCTGCAGCAGGAGGGCAGGCTCTGGGACCCGCACTTTGCTTTTTACCTTTCAAGAGTGCTTCACTTGGCTTTTGCAGGCTTGGCTTGTGGGGTGGGATATCTGTGCAGGCAGGCTTGTACAAATGCATGGTCCACACATGGAGCTGCAAAGGGAGATCCTCAGTGACCAGCAGATGCCGGGGTCCTCAGGAGCTTCCACCCTACAGAGGAGAGCCCAACGCCATCACGCTCCCGCCAGTACAAGATGGTATGAGCCGGGTTGTGTTGCTCAAAAGGACCACAGGATTATGGAGTAGTATTTTTCTCCCAGCCATCCTTTATATTATTGCAAGTACCTCATTGTAATTGATGCCCAGGATGGATTTTGGCCAAGATCAGCAATCTTGTTTGTCTGCTGAAACCTATAATGGTCAAGTACTCCAAGGGATAAGGACTGTCAGTGGGAATAGAGCACCAACCCTGTTTCCCAGGTCTTATATTTAGATAATGAGAAATATTTGTTTGGGATTCAGTCCAAGGCCAACAAACATAAAGCAAATATTCCTACAGGGTTTATTTCAGGCCTTGGGCTGGACAGATGAATGCTGCAAGTATCTGTTCTGCAAGTCATTAAAATGTTTTGTTTTCTCATGGTCCTTTGTGAACTCTCACAGCTGAGGTTACCTGGTGTGTAAACTTCCCCAGCATCTGCAGCCTCCTGGGGCTTTGACAGTTGATATGAAAAGAAAGACTATGGAACAGTCAAACAATAAGAAGAAAAAATAACCTACAGACAAGGGAAATACTTGAGAAACGAATAAGCTATGTATATCAGAGCCAGGGCAGGGAATGAGCAGCTGCTTTCAAGAGGCTGTGTGCTCCTGCAGGAGCCTGTGCATGGATGGGACAGGAGCCATCAAAACCCCTGAGATGCCACCAGCCACTACAAAACCTCCCACTCCACAGAACTGGCTGCCGCTCAGCACGGTGCAGCAGGTGAGGACACAGGTACATGTCTGAGCACTGTGCCTAAAAATAAACTTGCCAGACCAACAAACATCTATCTCACCACTGCTAAATAACAAACAAAAGATTTCAGGTTCTTGGAGTCTTCAGCTCTGAAGGGTGATGAGAGAAACAGCACAGGATTCACTGCAACACCAAAGCCAGTGCATGAGGGCATCCAGCTCCCTCTGGTTGAGATAACATCCAGGAGGACCACAGAAAAATTTTCTGGCCAATGCCAGACACAGCAGACAAATCAAGATGACGTCTGATACACACCACGCAAGCAGATGTTTGAGGCTTTCCTATTGTAAAAACTCAACCTATTTATGACTGTCATTGCAATCCCAAATACATTGGAAAAATAAGTTAAATAATCAAGTGATGGATGTATCATGAACTCAACTAATCCTTAAATCGTTCAAAGCAGATAAAGAAAGACTGATCCCAAACCCAGAATATATTTTAAAAGATTATAATTCAATGTCACAGAGGGGAATTCGCTATAGGCATTTGATTACCCAGTTATTCTTTCTCTGCCACTGTTCTGTCAGGGCCCTGAGGGCACTGGTGGACCTCCATGTCCCAGTGTCCCAGGCTGGGGTGGCTGGAGGGCTCCTGCCCTGCCACCCTGGGGCCCCCAGTACTGTGGTACCCCAACATACTGCTGCCCAAATATGGGGGGTCCTGTTCTTATGGTGCTGACCGAGTTGAACCATCAGTAGTGGGGTGCAGATGATGCTTTCAAGCTCTACTCTTTGGAACCCAAGAACACACAATAGAGGGAAGAGTGCCCTGTGGCTGCAGCCATGCCTGCCTTGAAGGAACTCAATTTTTTTTCCTCCCAGCAGCGTAACACCAAAGGCTGTAGCTGTGATCTCTGCTGCAGCTGCCTTTTGTTTTACCTCCTGACAGATCCAGCCCTCTGCTCATCTATAATGTGAGGTGAACCAATGGCAAAGAAATATTTCCACGAGCTTTTCTGAGAAAAATGCTTATCCTTAGCCTACAGACTCACTCATGTTCCCTTCATTGTGCTAGTTAGACATTTCTGCACTTAATAACTAGTTTCTCCATCTCTCAGTTTTACCCCATTTTCCTTTTGATTACCCTGTTTCTAAATGATATTTTTATTAATTTCTAATCCTAGCACATCTGCAAAATCTCAGTTTGTGCCAGTCACTTCAGGCATCAACAGTCTCCCCAGGAACCAACTTCCCAGCCTAAATTCCCACTGTTACTGGTGTATTTGTGTAGAGCTGGGTAAAATGCTGAACCCCTCCTTTGGCAACAGGCCTGTCTTTTGAGGCAATGAAACCCATCTTCTCCCTCCACCAAACCCCAGAACCGCCCTGAGCAAGCACGGCTGTTGTCCCTGTGATGCTGCTGTTCAGGGACACCAACTCCAGCCAGTTTGTGTTTAGGTTCCTGTTTCATTAAGGGTCTTACTCAGCACAGGAGAGATTAGAGAGTTGCACGTCGAATTTCCACTAATATCAAGATCCCCTTATATTTTTTTAAAGGAGCAAGATCAGATTCTGGAGGCTGTGACATTTAGGATTGATGGAATGAGAAATTCAGCAGCTGCAGGCTTCCCCACCCACCAGGCTGATCCATCACTGCTGCCCAGGTCCAGGTAGGGACGGGGGAGGCAGGGACCCGGGGCTTGCAGCACCCAGCAAAGCTGTCCTGCTGTTCTCTCCTGTCACCACACAGTCCCTGAACAGCAGCAGCAACTTTTCAACTAAATTCAAATGAAGCTACAGTCACTTGGACATAACAGCTCATGACAAATAAAGCTGAATACAACATGCAGTGTGTGCCAAAGAAGTTATGGAAACTAAGAAACAAATTTGTAGAATTTTCAGCTCTGGATCACACCACCCATTGTGGAGCAGGGAAAATCAATCAATCAATCAATCAATCAGAAAAGACAGACTCATAAAGCCAAAAAGTTTTCTATTATTATTATCCTCACCACCACCATCATTTCCTGGAGTGCAAATTGCTACTCTGTGAGCAGCCAGAGGGGTACATACCTGTGGGGCATCCCAGTGGTGTAGGCAATGGTGTACTCGTGGGAGAGCTCGCAGACCCGCAGGTACCAGTTCATCTCCAGCTCCCGCAGCAGAGCCAGCCGCCGGGCACGCTGCTGCACATGGCCAGCCCGGGCTCTGCTCTCCTT